TCTTGGTTTTGCTCATAAAATTTAACTAACAATTTATTTCATGGTTTTGCTCATAAAATTGCACCATTTTCGTCGAGTATCTTTAGAACAGGACACTCATATTTTTTTGTAGCTTATTACAAACTAAGTATATGTACAACATTCATATTTTAATGAAACCAAATTAAACGAGATTAAAAATGCATAAGTTTTTATAAAAATTATTTAATTATGATTGTTAGGAAGAAAAATTTTATCAAAACACCGGATAACTTTATTTAAAACAATTAGGTTTAACAAACGATTTATTACATGGTTGGGCTCATAAAATTTAACTAACAATTTATTACAAGGTTTTGCTAAAAATAAGGCATTAAGAACAAAAGAGGCGTTGCGATTGTGTTTTTTTTTTTTTTAACGTACACGATCATGAGTTCTAAGGTCATTGGACAGAATTTTCAGCTATGGTTAATAATCCCCGTTTGTCTTGTGAGAAAATGTACAAATGGGGTGAAAGCACTATTTATTTATTTATTTTTATTTATTTATTTATTTTTTTTAAAAGAGGGTTCGCAGCAGCAGAGTTCATATAAACCTTCAGGGTGCCGGTGTTTTTTAAAAAAAGCCCATTTGTAAGTATGTGGGGTTCGAATGCAGGGCCGCTGGATTCGAACCCGGGACCTTTACCTTACAGTGATGAGCGCCGTGTCAACGCCTAAACCGTAGCAGCCACCGATAGACGCTGCGTGACTGTACGTGGAGTGCGCTTGACGTCGCAAAGATTGTGCACATCCTACCAAAACGTGGCAAGGCGTCGGGTAGCGTAGCATGGCGTTGCATCGGGTAGTTGTGTTCCCGGCTTAAAGCTGAAAAAAAATCTCTTAATGCAAAAAATATTAAACTCGGTTGACAGATATTTGTGGAATGACATTCGGTTCAATGCAACACGAAAAGAAAGTTACTACGATATTTCTTGTGTTAGTTTTTCTTATCAACTGACAATGCGAGAAACATGTGTAATATATCTGTTTTGGGGCAATATCTTTGCTTATTTTGGTCTCAAGACTTTTAATGTCTTTTTCGAGGGGAAAATGGAAGTAAATCTCTTGGGGGCACAGCAGGGCGGTCAAATAGCTTACCCTTTTGATACAAACAGAGGGACAAGCCTGCCGTATTTTCAATTTGTCCTACTACGTTACAGTTTCCGAATTGGGTTTTGTTAAAAATGTCCGGTTTATTTTAATTTCCTTCGATCGTTCTAACGTGCATGTGCAGTTTTTATTGGAAAGACAAAGGGAGGAGGTTCGTTCAACACGTTTGAAAGGTGTAATCAGGCAGATTGCTGCCGGTGTCGGCCGCGGCCTCAGGTCACGCATCCTCGGCGGAATATTCTGAACGCCCTCGAGGAAACGGCGATGAACTCGTAAAGAATACGAAACGAACCTTGCCCGACAGTAAAACGTCTCCGCTGTGGTTAATAAACAAGTTTACTGTCCATGCAATCTCATCCGTCTAAGTAACTGAATCGGCCGAACGAGACTCCTGCAACGCACGGGTAGTTTGTAGAAAATCCGGGTCGACCTGTACTTAAATCGGCACTCGGTTTCGAACCCAACCAAATCTGGCTATTCCGAAAGGAAAGTTATACTTTATAACATATCAATGTTTCTATTGTTTACGTACCGAGTTGCAGTCAGAATCACAGGTGACATTTCTAAAGTGATAATGTCACATTAGCTACGATGCCTAGAGCTTATTTATAGTTTACGAATGCCAAAAACTCACCAGTTTACGTTGCATCTCACATTGGGACACATCAAATCACTTTATAATAATAATAATTTCTTTCAATTAATTAATCTTTATGTTAGGTGTTGGTTGAAATAAAACAGCTAGTATCACGAGCGGGATTCGAACCCACGACCTTCGGCCCAATACCCCGCTGCTCTAACCACTTGAGCTAAGCTGTGGTCATTGCCGACCCTCTGCGTGTTTTTATTTCCTTAACTGGTCTTTCACGCGTATTTGAGTGTCTCAATCTTTTACTGACTCTCTGCTTTTATTTATGTGAAAAGTAACAATATAGATGTTTCGACAATCTCCCAGAGTACTCGATACTCCTCGGGACGGCGTCGAACCCATTCTATTCTCGCTAATAAATTACTTTTATTCTCCAATGAATTTTATTCTCTAAATTACACTCGTTCCAATTAATTAAAATAAACACAACACAAACACACAAAATACATATTTGGTAAGGGTTTCCTGTTTTCCATTTTTACCTTTTCCTTCCTTTTACTGTATAGGATTTTATTCAATTTTCTTTCCAATAATCCATAGTCGTATATTTAAATAAAAGGTTACACAGCCCTAACCATCAGGTAAATTGAGCATTATGATGTGGATAATTCTGGTCCGCTTGTTTTTGTCTTCGGTGTCTGAAAGTAGTTTAATTTTAAAAAACGTTCGGTTTTACAAGTCTGTTTAACGCGTTCGACACGTGCCGCAGCGTTAAGCCGTAAATCCGCCTCCTCTCTACAATCCGACTTGGAATATTACGAAGTCCGAACAGTTTTCCCACATGTGTTAGTAATTTCTCTTTTACTCCAGGCATGACACGAACGGTGGTGCTAGGGGGAAGTTGTCACGAACCCCCGTTTGCTTTAACATGAAAACGTTAACCTGTTTGGTCAGCGACGTCCTGTTATAATTCCACGTTTATCTGGCCGGCCACATCGCCAAACACGTGGAATCGGCCTGGAATAATCAAGGAAAATATTTTCGTCTATATTTATCGTACGGGTATTTTTATCTGTAAGTAATAACACATCCTATAAATCGAAATTGTGGAAATGTTGTTTATAACTAGAAGACATATCACCTAGATAGAAAAAAACGTTGTACAAGAAGGGTTAACTATGAACCATCTTCAATGGAGGTTAATGATTGACTTGGAAATTGATAAAACATCAAACAAAAACATTGAGTAATAATAGGGTTACTCATAAAAAATAACCGTTTTTGTTCTTATTTAAAAATAATTTAATTTTGACACAATTGTTTTTAGTATTCAAAATATATACCATTGTGTTCTATGGTTTGCTACCATCTCGAGGCCAGGTGTTCATTTCTTCTCAGTTCCACTCTTTGTGTTTTGAACGAAAGAATTCTACACCAAGGAACCGCTGGCAAAGCTGTGGAGGCTGGTTAATAACCTGAAGCTGGCCAGTGAGCTTAAAAAACAGGGGACGAATAAATAAATTCTGGTCGAGGTGCAGTAGGCCTTGTGGCCGCCTCTTTTATCCCTATCCCTAACTTTCACGTATTTTTATTTTGTTTAATAAACATTTCATCAATAATGAAAGAAAGTCAAAACAAAATAATTAATTAGTAATAAAATTATTAATCAATTAAATTAGCGATTTTCTACGTCATGGTACTCTTGTAACAGACATATGTCAGTCTCCAGAGATAAATTCTAATTTCCTGGAAACTCGGTCTGAAATAGAAAGTCACGCATTTAGAATATCAAAACAGATTGAGCGCCCGCTGATCTGTTTGTTGAATTGCAAGTAATTTTTGAATTTGTTGATAAAGTACAAAGTATATTGTTAAAGGGTTATTTTTTCCATACTGTATCTACAAACTTTCCTTTATCGTATGTCGGGTTTCAACAATACCTTGGAAAACATTTAACCAATATAACTCTATGAACTAGATTATCGACCTGCTGGATACATGAAGTCTTTTCAGAGGATCTTCGGAAGAGGTCAAAACAGAGAAAACTTCCTTACGGTTTTCGCCGAGCTTTCGACAGTTTTATACTGTCATCTTCAGGGCCTGTTTTATTATCATATAAACAAACAATTAAAACATGAAAAAACAATAATTACAACAAAAATTGAATATCTTACTTTTATTCTCTATTAAGGTTTAAAGTAAGATATTCAATTTTTGTTGTAATTATTGTTTTTTCCTGTTTTAATTGTTTGTTTATATGATAATAAAACAGGCCCTGAAGATGACAGTATAAAACTGTCGAAAGCTCGGCGAAAACCGTAAGGAAGTTTTCTCTGTTTTGACCTCTTCCGAAGATCCTCTGAAAAGACTTCAATATAACTCTGTGAATTTAACATGTTGTAATTTTTTTTTAAATAGTTATTTATATACAGAACTGCACTGTGATATGATAGTATTACAAGTTGAAATTATAAATATATAAATATAGAAGATATCATTTATAAGCGTATTAAAAAATCTGACGATTTAGCTATCTCTTGGAAGATAAGAAGAGAGGAAGAGCTTATCGGATTCCAATAGCCATTGTTTTATTATAAGGTCGTTTTGTTATTGGCTGTAGTCCTTTATTTTTATTTTTGTAGTTCAATGGAAGAGAAAACTCCTGACTCAGTCCTGGCGAGACTTCCTTTCACCGAGAGAGCAATTATTTGAAAGAGCAGACCTCAAGAGGAATTCAGTTTCGTCTTTTGTTTAGAAGGCGAGTTTCTCAAGGCGGACATCCGGGGCTGGGAAATCACAGTTTTTCTGGAAAACGCAGAATTTGCCTTAGCAGATTTCTTATCCAAAACAGTAACTGGTACGGAATGTAAAATTAAATCGGACGGAATGACGGCATGGTAGACAATCAAACGCTTCGAACCAGTGTTAACACTGAAAATGGGGGGGCGTCGATGGCCGCAAAGGTTTAGGCGTTGACATGTCGCTCATCACTGTAAGGTAAAGATCCCGGGTTCGAATGCAGGGCCGCTGGATTTCATTTCTCCGCAAATGAAATTAGTTTTGTTCTAGAAATTTTTCTCAGGAATTTTTCTACTGGTTGTACTTGTACGATTACTATGTTACAAATTTAACCGATTTTTTTTTTCTGAATCTTCCCTTTCAACAAAAGTATTTTCAATTTTTCAACAGTACTTTGTTTATAATGTATATATCTATAATAGGTGAATTAATTTTTTGTTTTTTGTTTTCAGGTAAGCTGCTTTGAACACTGGAAACTAAATATTTTCCCGTTTACCAACGTGGTAAGTATAAATGATGGAAATGATTTCGTTCTGTTTAACAAATATCTTATGATTCATTCTTCCACTAACGTTTCTTAATCATGAATTGTTACTTTTTTCAAAGATAGACTAATTTAACATCTGATATTAACTCGTAGCGATTGTTTTTCAACAATTGGTTGCTACATATCAAACGATGATTTTGTCATCGCTCAACGTCAACTCGGTGTCGTTTATCGTTTAAAACATTTGCGGTAATTGTTTCTATTCTTATTCTACCATGTTTATTGAGTCATAAATCGGCTTAGAATCATCCTGTGGAAAGACGAAAGAGAGTAAAATTTTCCACCCCTTTGTTAACCCTCAGGAGAACAAATCAAGGCTAGAATTTAACTGCATTACGAATAGAGCTTTCAGGGGCGTCCGTGGCCGCAACGGTTTAGGCGTTGACACGGCGCTCATCACTGTAAGGTAAAAGTCGCGGGTTCGAATCCAGCAGCCCTGCATTCGAACTCGACATACTTGCAAATGGGCTTTTTTTTCAAAAACACCGACACCCTGAGAGTTTATATGACCTCTGCTGTTGCGAACCCTCGTAAAACAATATATAAAAAAACACTGAAAATGGCAAAATTCTAAAAGCAACGAAACTTATGCGGAACGAGAAGAGCCAAAATATGGACATTTTGGTCAAATTTTGCCCTTTTTAACCTAAGGAAATCCCACGTTACTTAAAATATTCAACCATTTTTCTCAAAGTTGTTTGCTCTTTATAAGAGAGATTAAGAGTTTAGGAGGAGGGTTCTGGTTTATTCAAAAATTACGTTTTTACTAACAGAAACGTAAATATACGTGTTATTTCTCACGTTTTTTTCCAAGTTACTACTTTCAATTAATTACTCTTTCTATGTAAGGTCTTGGTTGAGATAACAATGGCAAAAAAGAGGGAAAATTCGAACGGTTGTAGGTTGAGATGGAGAGTTGGTGCCCGAAAGGATCGAAGTCACGATAGCTCAAGTAGCGGCGTATTTAGCCGAAGGTCGTGGGGTTCGAATCCCGTTCGTAACACTGACTTTTTTATCTCAACCAAGACATTAGATAGAAAGAATAATTAATTGTAAATTTTCAGTGTTATTTTTTCATAAACTCTTTTCTCCAGAGCGTATCTCTAATGCGTTCGACTGTACATATGATACTGCTACAGACCCAAAAGTCTTTCGAAAAAGGTTCTTGTCGTTTTTTCATATTTAATCTTTGATGTATCTAGAGTTTAATAACATATCTGACCATTAAACAATATGTTGATGTTACTTTAGAAAAAGTTTTACTACTTAAGTTTCTAATCGATAGTTTCGAATTTTTTGAAGACCGACTCAGTCCCAACATTACCAAGGACTGTAAGATTATTACAGTGTAGATATATTTAAGATTGTTTTGCCCTAATGATGATCTTAAAATAAGTCGAAAACTTGTCAGTAATAATTGAATTTCTTTCTTCACCTAGGCCATACCAAGATCCAGATTATTCGTGAATTACCATTATATTTTCATTTTGTAGTAATTCTGTAAATTTCAAAGAAAACAAATTTAAAAAAAAATGTCGATTTTGCGAAATTTCCTGTTTTTATTAAAAACTATAAACATACATTCTCAGCCAAAGCTTTTTTTTATTGGTGCAACAGCCCGTCTCTGTTGCAGTTAGTTTGTTGTATTCGTGTCACCTTGACTCCGAAAGGAAATCGATCAGGATAGTCTACACTTAGCCCATTGTTCTCGGGTGTTCTGCCGGTGTTAAAAACCCCTTGAAAATTGTCTGTCGTCCGTTGATTTAATACAATCCGAGAATTAATTGTCCGATCCACTTGTCGACGATTCGCCAATAGAATCGGTTGGATAGGGTCATCACATCTAAAAATTGCTGGCAATATGTTTAAAACAAACGGCTATTAACAGGCTTATCGACAATCGTAGAAAATCCAAATTGAATCGTTTAATAGTTTCTCCTGATTATACCTGCAATAATGATAGCTTTCCTATTAGGACCAAAGACGTATAAATATATCACCTGGACAAAATTGATATAGTCGTATTAAATTTTAATTTATCTCTGTAACCATTGAAAAATTATAATCAATAATATTGAATGTTATTTAGTATTTAGAAAAAGTTGTACCCTCATCACTGTTTGATAAAGACACGTATTTGGAGAGAAAGGTAAAGAAGATGGGAGGCCAGGAAATGCATGCACAATCAACAACTTACATAACTATCTTTTAGTGAACATTTTCTTAAAGCATGGACAAAATAAAAAGGGAAAAAACTAATATAACTAACTGTAAAAACACATGTAAAAAAAATGAAAAACTTTTACTCGGCTTATTACATAACTTTATGCAATTTATGTTGTATCTTTTTACCTCTCACACACCGCTTCGCTCTCCCCTGTGGAAAGTTACTTACTCGATCATAATTGCTTTCAGTCTTAACCGCTCCTTAAAAAAACCGTACATATGAACATGTCCTAAACAAATCATCGTGAAACGATTACATTAAATAATAGATTTTTATTTAATAACCTAATTTTTTTAAATTGAACCTAATTTATTACAATTTTTTATAAATTAATTCTTTACAATATAATCAATGGGCGACTAAACTGTACTGACCTCATATCAATTATAACTATCAGTGCCCCAAAACATGATACCTTAACTCATCTATGTTTACTGTACACTTTAGTAAAAGAAATTTCATAGATTATTCTAGAAGAAATGGAATAATAAGATAAGAAAATAAGATATGTCCAAATATTGATTTTTTCAACTGACTTTAAATACATTTATACATAAATTGGAGGCAATAAGTCTATATATTATTTTGAAATAAATATAATTGTATTATATAAAATATATAAATATAGTTTATTGTTAATTATTAATCCATTTATGTTTAGTGGTCTAATTGACCAAATTACTTTTTTCAATTAATTATTCCCCGCCCCGAGGAATATCGAGTACTCTGGGGTGAGTGTGACGACTGAAATGTAAAAGTAACTTATTAGCGAGAGTGGAGTGGGTTCAACCCTGCCCCGACGAATATCGAGTACTCTGGGGGTGTGTATGACGTTAGGAAAGTAATTTATTAGCGTGAAAGGAAGGGGGTGCTTATAACCCCGCCCGAGAAATATCGACTACTCTGGGGGAGTGAATGTGACCAGACNCATACAAATGAGTAATCCTGTAAACGTAAACAGAATATTTTATATAGATTTTTTTTAATGAAAACTTAAAATCCTGCATTATTTTCCGGACAACCCAATATATATTTGAAATCAGAGAGTCAGTAACCAATCGAGACGCTCAAATGGCTACAGTTGCTACATGCGCGAAAGAAGAGAAAAAGAAGGAAAACACCCAGAGGGCCGGCGATGACTTCCCCATAAACTTCCCACTTTCTTATTATTCAATTAATTATTCTTTTTATGTAAGTTCTCGGTTTAGATGAAAAAGTTAGTCCCATGAGCGGGATTCGAACCCACCGGAGGTTGTGGGTTCGAATCCCGCTCGTGACACTAACTTTGTCATCTCAACCAAGACCTTACATAGAAAACATAATAATTATTATTAATATTTGTTGTTGTTTTGTTCTTGTTATTTTATCAACTTTGTTTATCTGCTATTTATGTATATATAAATAAACCGTACATTTACTATTTACTGGCACTCTCCATAGAAGGAACGAGCATTCCATGGAACCCGCCTGGCAGTGCCATCAAGTACTTGGGTGTGTACTTAGATAGGAAACTCACATGGAATTCTCAGATCAACAAGAAGCTATTGGAGGGGTACGCTCGATTGGGCATGGCTCTAATCCATGATAAACCGAAAGTCCAAACTATAGCCAGAAGTGGGACTGCTCTACAAGTCCCTAATAAGTCCTTTGGTGCTCTACGGTTGCGGGGTCTGGGGAGCGGTTTCCACTTCAAAACTAAAAAATTTCCAAACCCTGCAAAACAAAGTACTACGGATCGCTACGGATGCAGAGTTTGTCCGGAATGACCAGCTTCCCCGCGAGTTTCAACTGGAGAGCATCGAAGAACACATCAGGACGAGATTTAGGACGTTTCACACGAAGCTTCCCCAGGTGCAGAGAGCAGTCCACTTCAACCTAGGCAGCAGGGTGGCCTCCCGTCTAATACCAAAAACATTGCAAGACGTCTTGGAGTGATATGTGAAAATGTCTGTGATACGTGATATTTCCTGTGAAATGTGATATTTTCTGTGATATTTAAATTTATAATGTAAATAGTAGTATAAGTGTTTAAGCTGTTACAAAAGCTGCTAATGCAAATGGGCACCTGTGGAGCAATATCACTAACACATGCCATTATAAATTTCTTCGACCTATAATCTCTTCAATCTCAGAAGCACTAAGTAAAAAAAATGTAATTGTCGGCTGTAACTCGCCGAGATCAGTGTAAATTGTTAGCTCTTATGATTGATACATGATTGATATACGTGATCACAAGACGAAAACATTGAACAAAAACTTCGATTGTTTGACAATTGTCTATGATCCTCCAACCCTCCCTGAGGGGCGCGTGAATATGCAGACCAGAATGGTACGCAACTATCATACAGCAAGTTTATCATGCCGCAGACGACATCTCAGAAAAACTTTGATTTTGAAAAAGAAATAGACTAAAACTATCGATTATAGCAAAAATCTATTTTTATTAAGCATGGAATGAAAATATCAATACATTTTACAAAATACTGGAGATGGTATTTTCACTGTGTTGGGCAATTAAGTCAAGAAATGTATATATTGTCGTAGTAAGATTTAGTTTGCGAGAAGTGCTCAAAACAGCAGAAATTACACGTTTTGAATTTCCCTCCCGGTGCATATAAATAATTCGTTACCTTATGAAATTATGAAGGCGTTCTCTTGCCGCTAATGTGTCGGCCGTCGCATTTCTATAATTCCCGAGATTATTTATTTCTACAAAGTAGCTTGCCGAG